TTTGATTCCTTTAGTTCAAGATTCTCCTTGGACCTTTTGCAGCCCCCCAGATTCCTCAGCAGTCATCGAAAGGGGAGGCCAGGCACAGTTGCTGACAGCTTTATTGCATTGAGCCAAAAACTCAAAAGATTGAGAAATGCCTTTCCCTTGCTTTAGTTCCTTGCTGTTTGCTTCTTTAGGAAAATATTTATTTTCAAATGTAACTCAAAGTTTTACTATACAGCCAAAGCTTATCCTTGGGCAGAAATAAACAAAGTATGTGTAATAAATCCTGTATATGTAGGCACTGGTCTCTAGTCATGGCATTAAAATGTTTTATCTATAGGAAGAGCCTGGGTTAATATATATATATATATATATATTAAGAGGGAAATCATAAAATTCCAGGCTTGCATTATTATTACACTCCAACAGTGTATGGGGGAGAAGACTTCAACATTGCTGATACTTCCTCCAGAACGAAATCATGCTTGTGAGCTTGTACAAAACTAATGGTCGTGTATAGAGCATGTTAATGAACAGCTGGAGAAGCAAAATTTGCTCTTCTGCTCAAAAACCAGGGGAAGGAGCTGGAGCAGTCACAGTCCTGGGGAGCCTGGACACTAGCCCTGCTGTGCCCACAGTCCGGCCCAAGCAGCTCGCTGCCACCTCTGGTATTTGCTGGATGTCTTCTGGCCTTAAAGAAAGTCAAAGAACCCCCAACTATGTCCCTCCTGCCCTCTCTTCCTGGAGTAACGAGCCCAGTGCGACGCAGCCACGCGGGTGGATGTGTTTGCACGTTCCGGTCTTGGTGTCTTTGATGTTGCGTCTCCACCGTTGGAGGTTCCCCTCCCTGCGCTGCTGCCGATGCCCTGAGCGCGGCGTGCGGTCAGGGTTCGGGACAGGTACTGCTGCCTTGCCAGGGGTCATCTGCTCAGCGGCTGCCGTGTGGCCTTCTGCTTCCCAGAAACAGCCTGTCCTGCCGTCCTGCAGCTGCGCGGCTGCTTCCCCTGGCTGCTGTGTGAGAATGCACTGAGAATAACCAAGAGTGCTGGGATCAGGAACGCGCGTCAGTCACGTCAGCAACTCTGTCTCTTACTCAAGATGACGTTTGAGAATTCCTGGGAATGAAGAGGGTAGCTTTTCCAGCGCGGCGTGTTAATGTTGGTCAGGTAACTGTAAGGGTTGCCTGAGCCCTGGGTCATGGCAGAGGAGCTCTTCCCACGGGAAGCCCGAGGCACGGCAGGAATCTGTCACTACAGGCAACTGTGACCTCCCTCCAAGCAGAACAGCCCTTTGCAGAGGGCAGCACCCCTTGGCTGTGATACTCGGACTTCACCCTGGGATTCTGCCACCACTGCCAGCCCTTTCCCTCCGGCAGTGCTTTTCCTTGGGCCTCTAAATGATGCGTTATGGAGCAAAAGAAAAATCTACCTTGAAACAGCTGCTAAATCTCTTGTTTCCTTCTTGGAGGAGCTGTAGGCAGATAAAGAGAAGTTTTAGCAGCATCTTCAACCTCAGTCAAATCTGGTTAGTAGCACGGCAGGCAGTTCGCAAAGCTTCAGCAGCGTTTTACGCTCCTACACGTCAGCCCACGGCGCTGTCCCTGCTATGAGCTGAGTAGTTGGTTTTTGGCCAGTGTGGTCCGCTGGCAATTGGCAAAGAGCCTCTGGTATCTACTGACTAAGCTGGGGTGGTGGTGGCTCCTCAATGCCCAGCGTGGTGGCACTTGGTGCGTCATGGGGACATCTGTGAGCCGCAGCTGGGAGGGTAGGGAGGCATCCTGTGCTGTTCCTGGGGAGCCGGCGGTGCCGCACGGGGCACGCGGCTGCTCGCGGTGCAGGACGGGGCTCGGGAGGAACCCGCCAGCCTCCCACGATACTAGTTCATGGCGAGGCAAAAGCAGCCCCGTTCTGAACGGTACCAGCCTTCAGCACAAGGCACCTTTTCCCTTTATCAAAGCACATCCTGCCCTAGGCCACCTCTGGCCACCTCTGACCACTAGGCCACTAGTGTAGCTTTGAATGCAGAGGCCCTTAAACTAATTCCACCCTGGTGTAGGTTGGTGCAGGCTGGGGTACCATAACTGTGTCATGCAGGGCTGTTTCTGTGTGTGCCTTTCTCCTAAAGATGGGAGGTATTTTGGGAAGAACTGTACAGCTCAGAGGACAGCCCTGGTTCTTGTTTGTTTATGGAAGTTTCCCTTCTGTGCTTTCTTACATGAGCAGGATTCATGTTAGTCTGAAACAGTATCTGAGCCTTTTGTCAACCCTGTGTTTATTTTCCTAGGAGTAAAGCAAGGGTAGAATTTAAGATGAACACCGAGCTCCCTCTTCCTTCGTCCCCCTTTGTGCCCTCCCGCATGTTTTTCTCCCCAGTGTTTGACATGCTGCAGTGTTTCAGAGAGAATTAGCAGGCTGTCTCTTTAGGAAAACAAGGTTTGGGGGCAGCCTGAGCACTTGTATATTCTGTTATCGTGGGTGGCCTTTGGTTCGCAGGAGTCCTTGGAAGCGCAGAGCGCTTGGACACGCTGTCCCCCCGCGGAGGCCGCGGGCACTCGCTCCGCTGCGGAGCCTTGTGGTGTTGGGGCTTGCAATCCCTAGGAACAAATCAAACCTCCAAACAGCGGGGATTAAAATGCAATGCAGTTGTTATTTTTTTTTCAATAGATATGTTAACTTGTGAGGGGAATTAATTGCTCGGGAATTATTGTGCAGAAAGAAAAAGCGTAATTGTTTATGTATGACATTACAGGATGTGTTTGATTGCAGTGCGAGTGACTGGGTGTTATTTCTGTGGTGCGGAACGCTGCTCTCTGGGTGTTTATCAAATGGTAATTACCTCTGCTTTCACAGGGGCAGTGCTGGGGCATGGGAAATTAAATGCTGGGCTAAGACACTGCAGCTATTTCATTAGTACTTCCAGGCTCCAGATCCCTGTGTGTCAGGAAGAGCTTGTACTGGTTTTCTCACTGCTTGTTTATGGTTGTAAACTGCGTTTAAGCTTATAATCTTCTGAGAGCAGCTTTTATGCACGGAGATGGAACAGGCAGCCGAGTTGTCAGGACCTCGAGGGCTTTGCTGCCCCGTTTGGTGGTGAGTGCTGGAGCAGGTCCTGCAGAGCAAGCCCGTTCCTGCCAGGCCAGCCTGCTGTCTGATTGCCCGGGGAGCAGCCCGGCCACTCGCTGCTTGTGGCCGAGAACAGCTCAGGGGACACGCGGGGACGGTGGCCAAGGCACCCACAAGAGCCTGTGCCCGCACTTGGTGCGTGCGTGGGCAGCAGGGATGGACGCACGGGACGACTTCAGCCCTGGGATTTTCCGTGTTTGATGGTATCAGCACTTGATAATTTTCATATCTTAGGCTATCCATAATTAGTGCTGTGCTGCTGTGCGCTGTCTGCGCCTTTGGTGACCCCCTCCTTCGCCTCGGGGCTGGGACACCTTCTCCTTCGAGCCAAGTGCCGCCCACGAGCAGCGCTGGTGCAAGGACCTGCTGCCTCCTCGTTGCTGGAGATCGTCGCAATTTTAAGCGCCGTCTGCAGTATTGCACAGTGGACATCAGTTCCATGGCAAATGTGTTATCTGTCGATTTTCACTTAAATGCTGAAACCTGCTGAGCCCGCAGGCAGCCCTGGGTACGTGGCCCGTTGTGGCCTGCGGGAGCGTGTGGCCTCTGCAGTGACAGCAGGAGCTTTGACAAGCCAGATTCAGTGCGGCTTTGGAAGGATTAAAGATGCCCCTAGAGCTGCAGAAACTGGAACGGCACCAAACTGCGAAAGCTTCCCACTTTATCAGCCCGATAGAGTTAACTGAGCACAGCCTTTTTTTTAAAAAAAGAAAAAAAAAAAAAAAAAAAAAGGCGGTGTGTTGCTGTATTTATTATATCAGTTAACCTTTAGGGCTCAAGCCAGTGCCTCCCCTTGGGAATCCAGATTTTACAATAGCAACGTTTCCTGAGGGGAAAGAAATGAAGCGTCTGTAGAGCTGAGCAAGACACTTGAATTCCAGAAAATTGAGCAGTCGCTGAGCACTGTCAGTGTCACAGCAGACTTTTAAGATGTGAAAGAAACATAGCTCAGGAGCTGCAATGTGAATGCAGAAATGCAGAGAAGGCAATTTGTATTTTGTTTACCAGCAAGTGATGACACATGGTGTGTGCTCTAGAAGCTGAATGCCCAGATGAATTCAGATTTCTTTGTAAACTCCCAAGCGCAAGTTCATAGCACTGTGTTGTTCTGGAATATTTTTGCATGGGTGATCTTAGGAGATTGCAAAACTGTGCATTTCACACTGGGTTGCTAGAATTGCAGGTAAGTGTATAGAGCCTGTTACTTGTTTTGCAAGAAAATAAATAGTTGACTTTTTAAAATCATATACAGTTACTTACCCAAAGAAATCAGTGGAAGTTAGTATTTGATTTTTCTTAGGTTAGTAAAACTTACTTGCTGTGTAATGTTTTAGACCTGGCATGTTAAATCAGGACTGGCACTGCTGTCCTTGTCTTGTGTTTGCAGATCTGTAGCTTTATCTTTATAAAGGGATTTGGAATAAAATTGCAGAATATCCACCTGTGATCTTGCTGTTGATTTCATTTAGGTAAGATGTATGAGACATAATTTGAGCTTGTTATCTTTCCTGATCCACATAAAACTCTGTATTATGATTTATATGGAATAGTGACAGCCTATTACAGACAACTTGGTTACAGAGGCTCAGACAGCTGACTGGAATATAAATTTAATTCTAGCCTTGCTGTGATCTCTTAACTCTAGGAGCTGCAGTAACAGCCATCCTGCTCTGTGTGTCCTTCCTCACCAAACGTTTGTCATGTTGTCCTGGACGTGTGGTTTTTGTGCATACTTGTGAGATAGGAAAAATCCACTCTTATCACAGTCTGTCAAAAGCGAATTGATGTGGGAACCTAAAATATGCATTTAATGCCTTGTTCTCGTGGTAGCTGGCAGGTTGCTTCCCGTGTGCTGCTCGTAACCCCTTTTTCCTCTCTTTTCCTGCAGTTACTATGTGGGCGAGCTGCTGCAACTGGTTCTGCCTGGATGGCTCCCCCGAGGAGATGCCGCCGCCGCCGCCGGGAGCCCGCGCCCAGGCCTACTCCAACCCCGGCTACAGCTCCTACCCGTCGCCCACGGGCGCCGAGCAGGGCTGCACCGCGTGCGGGACGCGCCTCGCCACACAGGTGGGTCCGGGGGCCGCTCCGACGGGAGCGCGAGCCCCACGCAGCCCCGGAGCTGCGGCCGCATCGTGCGGAGGGAGGCAGCTTGTCTGTGTGTCTGTGTGGGTAGTCGTGCTGATGCAATTAGCAGACATAATTTAAGATAACTGGAAACGTGGAAGCTAACCTCCAGTAGACTTGGCTTTCCCAGGCCCCGAATGAAGAATGCCAAGCTGCTTGTAATCACTTCAAGGAGCATTGACTTGAACATTAGTTTTTAATTTGTTATTTTAAAAAGGCTAATGTCCTAATGAGCCTGTGCCTCCAGTGAAAGATGTGCCCATATTTTTATATCCAAACTATTGCTGCTCAGGCTAAAAAGCCATGTAAGGTTGTGGGATGGGGGGCTTAATTGCTGAAGCTCTGTGCCAAAGGGAGGAGAACAGAACAAAAAGACTAAACTCATTTTATCTTGTTTGTAAGCTTCCTTTTTGATGATATAGTTGCCAAAATGACTGTTGCCATGAGGTTTTTGATTAGTCTGCAGACCCTGCCTGGGAAATTATTTAAACATGGGGGTTCCTATAATGCTTTGAGATAAGTATTTTGGTGAAGAAAGCTCGTTAGAGTCCAAACTCTGCTGCCTAATAAGTGCCTGATCCAGACAGTGTGTTACTAAAGGGAAGCCCATGAATGAGGATAGAAGCCTTTGATCTGGAGAAAAGCATCTTCTGAAAAGCTTTACTAGGATATCTTTTCATGATGCTGCTTTGAAAAAGCTATAAAGTTGCAGTAAATGGGAAAATCTCTCTCTCTCTCTCAAAAAAAAAAAAAAAAAAAAAAGAAAATTGAAAAAGATTCATTTTGCAGCTAGTGTTAAAGGCATTCAAGCAGTAAAGGCCACCGTTGCGGTATCAGTGCTGCAGTCGTGGTCCCACAGGCCCTGGTATCCTCTAAAATACGTGTTCTAATAGCAGCTGTCATCAAAGCAGTGTCTTGTGTGCTGTTCATCAGCACCGTTCCAGGTGTGTGGAAAACCCGGATCCGTGCATGCCAGGGGAAGCTCTGGAGAGCACCGAGTGGTGGATCTGCGCTGGCTGGTTGGGATATTTGTGGCCCCAGCAGCTCCCCTGCTTTCCTGCCGGCGTTGACGGTCTCTGTAACTGGGGCAGCAGAACACAATGTGTGCCTGTGTCTGGCTGCTCCCGTTGAGCACAGACTGTCAATGAAAATGAGGTTGAGATTTGTCTGCTGTACTGGGGAGGGGGGTTTCTAAACCACAGGCTCGTGCTCCTTTCTGCACCGCGACTCCAGGGAGAATATTGAGATCAAGGGTGGTACGTACAACTCGCTTGGAAAATGCTTTCAAATAGTCAGCGTTTTAATTCTTGAATTGAATTCTGTCAATGTTGACTCGCAGACATATGAAATCTCACTTTGCTGTAATGAGAGAAAAACTCTGTATTTTATCCCAGGAGAGGCAGTTCCTTAGAACTGTAGGGTCCAGTTAATATTTATACTAGAATACTTCTGTAATCTTAATAGGTAAAAATGAATTCCTTCCACATGGGAGACCCTATGAATAACTTAGATTGCTTTAAAAAAAAGATGAAAATAAAGCAGAACGGTGATTTCTAAGGTACTTGCCCCTTTATCATAGCTGTGTTTTAATTTCCATGCTGCCTGGCACTTGCTGAAAGCACTGGGACAGAGGACATTTGAATGGAGCGTGGACTTAAAAGGTTCTTTCAAATAACTGCAGGAACATTTTTTAAGGGTATAAAATTAGTTGTGGTAGCAAAAATAATCTGAATGTTTTTGTTTTTCCTTTTAGCTAACTTGTGTGATCTTGGTTTTCTGTAGCAAGCGGGTTCCACAATGTCTTTTAATTTAAATTTAATTTCCCTCCCTGCATTTAGAAAGTTGTGCCAGGCGATTTTGGGAACATGCAATATTGTTATTTCATCCCCATTTTCTAATTTGGTTCCTCAAATTGGCTGACATTTCCAGGAAGCTGCTTTTCTTTGCATACTTACAGAAAAAGCTCCTGGTAAGCTAGAGCATAAGATTAAAAACAACAACAAAAAACAAAGCAAAAAGAAACCGAAATAATCCCCACCAACAGTAGCTGTAGTGAAGGCGTTTCTAAATTTTATCCTTAATAGAGAGAACATCCAAGTACATGAGAGCCCAGTCCTGGCATCTCCGGGAGAGGAGCTGTCAGAGCAAACAACCAGGGACGTCCTCAGTCGGGACCAACTTCTGAGTCCAAGTAGCGACGCGCTTGTGTTGACGACCCTGTGATCGCGCTGCCAATTAGAAAGAGCAAGTGTCATTTAAGGGAGGCCTGAGCTCACGGTGACAGGCTTTAACTCACACTGATGTTTCAAATGAATTGTTCTGCAGAGAATGTTGTCTTCAGTCGTGGCCCTCCCGGAGAGTTCAACAAACACAGGAGAAGATTTGAAGGCTGCTTAATACTGAGATGCAGCAAGCGGCGCCTGTGCGTGTGTAAATACTCAGTGCTCAGCTACAGGCCGGGGTTTTTTCTCTGAAGATAACTCCTAGAGCTGAACCGATATGCAAGAGCTTATCACACTTATTTTTATTTTGGCTTCTCAAGTGTATCATTTGATAATAAGGTAGACTCCTGTGTTTTTGCTCTTAATTGCTTGCAAAAAGTATGTTGAATAACGTAGCCCTCGTTCGGGGCGCACTCGAGCTGTGCTCTCGGGGCACTCGAGCGCTCCAGCCTGGGCTTCTCTGGGTAGAAGGTTCCTGGCCATCCCCTTTAGGGCCAAGCTGGCAGTCTCCAAAGCATGGGGGATTTTTTTTCCATTTTCTTCCAGAGTAGAACTATTTATTTTTTTCCTCACTTCTGGTAGCTTGGCTGCCAGGGGGATGCTCTCGGAGAGGAGGAAGGGGTCCTCATTCCCATTAATCTCATGTGACCTCCTGAACGTACCCGTGAGCGCCTGGCTGGGGGAAGCACTTGCTCCCTTGCTCTGTGTGCATGTGCACATGGCTCTGCACAGAGGGTTTGCAGCTAACTGCGTTTCTCAGAAATCTTAGGGTCAAAAGTAAGTTCGTCAACTATTAATGTGTTTTATAGTGACCAAATTAAGGAAGTTTCTTTCAAAATTGCACAGGCTGTTGAGATTGCCCTTCCTGTTATGGTTTGTGGTTGATAAATGTTGCTTTTACTTGGTGAGCCCACAAATCAAGGGGAATTTTGAGATGAGGCTTCAAGTTTGCACAAGCAGAGAAGTTTTCTACTCCTAAAATGCTTTGGTGTCAGGCCCTTCCCAGGGTCTCCCAGTATGAGGCTATTACAAGTCTACAGCAGAAGGCTGAGAGTTTTAACTGCCAGAGGTGCATGGGGCAGAGAGACTGCCGGGCTCTCCTGTAAACACGGAGCATCCTCACGCCTTTCGGAGTGTGAGAAACATCTGCTTGCTTTGAAAATGTTCTTCAGTCACCAGAAGCGATTTGTGAAATGACTTTTTTTAGTCTGTTTATATTTGTTGCTGCTCCAAGTCTTCATGGGTAACTCTCTTTGCTTAGCTCTAAAGGGTAAGGATGTTAAGGGTAAATTTATGGTACCTCACAAATAGAATGGGGGAATTTATTTCTCTAGTCCAAGCAGATGTAGAAATAAAGAGTATTAATGGTAAAACGTCTGGTCCAGAACTCTAGTGACACAAGATGTTACCAGCTGGCCTTTCTGAAATGTGTTTTTGCTCCAGTTCCTACTGGAACAAGCAAACGTATATGCACAATTTCTTTCAGAATAGTAGTCTCAAAAAAAAAAAAAAAAAAAAAAAAAAAAAAAAAGACTTGTGCCTGCTGAGTCATTCCAGAGGTGACTGTTACAGGGTAAAAACAACTCGGGCTGCCTGGATTAGAAGGGAAGTGAAAGTCTGTGGGCGGCTGCCTGTGCATCTCCCTGTTTTGTGGAGAAATTCTCTTCCCTAAGGCTGTTAATGAGCAATTTTCACCAGCAATGAAATAATCCGGTTCTTCTCTCCGTTGGGACTTTTTTAATGGTCCATAAGGTGGCTGTTCAGCTGCTATTCCTATTGGAAAATGCAGAATATGACTTTCCTAATTGTTAAGCAGTCAAGTTTCTGCAGAAGTCAACACGAACTGTGAGTGCTTGGAACTTCTGAAAATCAAGCCCTGAGTGTTGGTATCAGAACAGCATAAAAATAGAGATGTTAAACAACAGAACTTGTTGTAAAAGCCTTTCAGATTATCTGGGGCCTTATATTTCCAAAACTTCCAACACTTTCTGTCTAGCACCTAACTGGAACACAGTGTGCATATTATTTTTAAAGTAAGCTGGCTATTTTTGCTGCATAAATACAATGAGGAATTCTTGGAAGTCTGTCTGACATTGTAGACCTTGTTGTTTTCTTTGCCTCTTATGGTGAGAAATTGAGCTTGGTTTAGTGACTGCAGCAGATTATAAGAACAGAAAAAAGGTATGGGGTGCTGCTTTTAGCAAGTGGTAAACTTGAATAGAGAGATGCTTATAGGTAGTTTCCTCCAATGCTAGAGCTTTCTTAATGCACAGTGCATCTTTTCATTGCTTTGTAAAGCAGTGAACAGCTAACTCTGATTTACTTAGTCTGTTGCCTCTCGAATATCTCTTGATTTCAGTTTGGACTTCAACTGGATGATCAAATCCAAAATAAGCTGCAGGAAGCTCATGTCATTTGAGGGAATTGTTTAAGAGAGTATTTTTTTCATTGCAGGCAACTAGAGCGTTAGCAGTAACTGTGAGGAATCTAGAGATCAGTTGATGGGATGAAGCCATCTCCTCATCTAGCAGCATGCATAACATGCTTGACACTTGTCATCACTCAGAAGGGTTTGATTAAGCTTTAACATGGGTTACGACCTGCTTTGGCTTCTAGATGCCAGTGGAGCACTGCAGTCCTTGTGCACCTGTGTCTCCAGGCTTGGCACATTGTTTGATCCTGTTCCCTTCTCTTTACCAGCACGTCTGCTCGGACTGTAAAAAGAATTTTTGCACATCCTGCTCGAGTCAGCCCGACAGCGGTCCCCGTCTCTGCCACCTGTGTCAGCGCTTCCGAGCCACAGCTTTCCAGCGGGAAGAGTTGATAAAGATGAAGGTGAAGGATCTGCGAGACTATTTGGCACTCCGCGACATTTCCACAGAGCTGTGTCGGGAAAAGGAGGACCTGGTATTTCTGATTCTTGGCCAGCAGCCTGTAATTACCCAAGAAGATCAGATCCAAACACCTTCTTTGAATAGCAGTGCCTCTGGACAGCAAGACTTTGTGATTCTCCCACCGAGCAGCAGAGCGTCTTCTACCTCACGTGATGTCTCTCCACTGTCTGCAGACCCCATCTCAAGTCCACTAGCTCAGGAACATCCACAGGTGCAGTCTCTAGCTAGAAGCATTTTTTGCATATTCATTCATCCCTGGTTTTGGATTAACTGCTAAAATATTCTGGGAGATTTTCCAAGTAGGAAATATGCCAGAAAGGTTTTACATTAAAGATTTCTGCTTCAAAATCATGGAGAGCTTCTGTGTAGAATAGCTGGCAAATTCTCAGCTTCATTTTACACATGGTCTTTCCAGTTTATTTGAATTTTGAAGTGAGGATCTTCTACTATCTTTAAAAGATAATTAGGGAGGTAAATTTTATGCAGTTCCCCAGGAACTTAAGGATTTTTTAACAGTGAGGGTGCCAGAGCACTGGCACAGGCCGCCCAGAGAGGTTGTGGAGTCTCCTTCTCTGGAGATCTTCCAAACCCGCTTGGACGCAGTCCTGTGCCACGTGCTCTAGGTGACCCTGCGTGTGCAGGGGGGTTGGACTAGATGATCTCTAGAGGTCCCTTCCAACCCTAATGATTCTGTGCTGCTTTGTTGCCGCGCTGGCTCTCACGTGCCCTTCTCACTTTCTGCACTAGTAGAATTATTTTGGTGGACAGTGCTGAATATACTGGACACTTTGAGAAAAACAGCACTGTTCTGAGGTCCTCTAGGATGAGATTTTTTTGCAGTGACCTGCTTCACAGTTACCCTGGCACGAGACATTTCTATGAGTAATGGTTCATTTGGTGCTTGACACCTGTGTTGCTGCACAGATCTGTTGTCTGTTGCTGTTAATAACTTTCTGACAATTGTGTGTAAGTATTAGATGAGACAGTTTTCTCTCTAATTCATGTGCAGCACAGCAGGCGTGCTGTGAGGTGATCTTGGATTTGAGACTGCTGGGAGAGAGGCCTGGGGGATGAGCATGGCTTTTGGTGTCTTTGCACCCTGATCTATTGATGTCAAACCCCAACTTTGTTGTTAGTCTTCAGCATATGCTTAACTCTGTGCAGTTCTGATGAGCCGTGTCAGGGGCATTTGAGTTTCATTATTTTTATTGACTTTGCTTTGTTTGTCTTTCTCCTATTTCACATGGGAAGTTTACACAATGTTTGACATCTGCTCTCCAGGTTAATAGGACTGTGGACCAGTGTGCTGAAAGTTTATCTTTTCCTGCTCTCACAGATGTACTAAAGCAAAAACATAATTTGGGGGAGACTTGGAGGGAGGATTGGGATCATTTATTACATATGATTAGACCGGCCTTTTTATTGTTTGACAGGTTTCTGGATGTTGCCACCCCAGTTTTTATCTCCACATTCAGTTCTACCATCCTCCTTTACTTCCCCGTGATGCCTTTTCAGCTCCTTTTCTCGACTCCCATGACATCCTGCTACATCGTTATTGTTATTTTGCTTTGCAAGTATTAATGAGTCACTGCTGCCTGAACCAGTGTGGTAACATTGCCCTCCCTTATCAGCAGGGAAACCACTCGGGGGGCTGGGATTGCTCTGCAGTTCCTTTGCTCTAAGTGCTCAGAGCATCTGCCCCTTCTCTTTCTGCATCAATTCCATCTCGAGTCGATACAGATTTGGTTTCCTTCTGATCCAGCGTCAGGAGCGTCGCGTGGGAGCTGCCTGCGCAAGTACTTCACAGGGCTTAAATAAAGCGGGACCTTAAAGGGTCACATAGGGTGCTTCAGTATTAAATAGCGTTTACCGTGGTTAAAATTGATTTGCTTTTGTTAGCACCGTGCAGGAACCATCTCCCACCAGTGTGCTTCGCTTTTCCCTTGCGCTGCAGCCCATCGTTTCAACAGGCAGTGTTGCAGTTACGCTGAACGCATCGAGCTCGTTTCTGTCTGCACGCACAGATATACGCTGTTGGTGAAAGCTTTATTTCCTCTTTTAGGCAAATGGGTATGTACTTCCAAGCCCAGTCGATATGGCAGGAGTTGAGAATTCAGCAGAAGCATCAGCAGAGGAGGAGACACAGGTTTGTGTGTCCCAGAGTTAGACAGATGGCAGGGAATACGAGGCTGTATTTGCCGCTGCAGAATCATTGCTGCGGAGGGATGGGTGGCTAGAGTGTAACTCAGACTGTATCCACCTGCAGACCCAACTGCCCCCTCTTTAGCGTTATCTTGTCCTCCACATAAGAAAAAGCTAGTGTCACACAGACCTGGTAATAATAGGAATGGTTTCCTATAATAATAATAGGACTTGTTTCAGGCAAACGGAGGGTTTCACACAGTAATTCAAGTTCTATGTATATCCAGACACTAAGTCCTGTTAGTGTGCATGTTCAAAGTTGATTTAAACTGGGGTGCTATGTATTGAGGGGCAAAAATTCTTCCATCTTTGTTTCCCTTCAGTCTGTTGACTCGGAAGAAAACCTGGTGCAGGGGCGGAGGGCTTCTCTTTCTGATCTGACAAGCATTGGGGATATCGATGCGCTCACTGTGCGGCAGCTGAAGGAAATTCTTGCGCGCAACTTTGTCAACTACAAGGGCTGCTGTGAGAAGTGGGAGCTGCTGGAGCGGGTGACTCGCCTTTACAAGGAGAAAGACCTTCAACATCTAGGTAAGAAATCTAGCAAGCACCTCTCTGGTCTCCAGGCTTTCCCTTGAAAACTGACAGGGGCAGAAGGGGATAGGACTTCTCCATGTTTATTCCTTGCAAGTGGGAAGGAGACTTAGGGTGTTTCAGGTTCTGATACATATCTGAGCACTGATACATATCTCTTATTCTCACCAATTGTGCTTGTTTATATGAGAGCATCGTGTTAACTCTGCAGAGCGACTTCTCTGTGTAGCAACAAATGACAACAACTGTGTCCCCTTCCCCGTGGGGTTCTGCAGAGCTGTGGCAGATCTGGGCCCTGCAGCCCCCGAGCAGCTGACGAGGCTGCAGCCAGATGGAGCTCAAGTGAGCTTGGTGCTTGACTCCTGGTAACTGGCAAAGGCGGCAGGAAAATACCCGGGCATTTAACATTTTCTGATTCAGAGACAGGTATCTTATCTCCATCTAAAGGAGTCTGTCGTCTTAAACACTTCTCTCCAAGGTCTGTTGTCTGCAAATATTAAAAGATTGCAGACAATCTCTTTAGCGTTATACTCTTCTTTCATTGTATTTTGTGCTTTTGACAACATCATTTTTTCTTGAACGCTGTTACCTTTTCTATGGATCTCAGGTGTGATTGTGTAAAACCGAAGTAGATACTGCATGGCTTCCTAGAACTACTCTTGCACCGAGTAAAATTAAAAACTGTCATATAAAATTGAGAAATCACTTAAGTGATTGTCTTTGTGAAGTATTAAGTATCTGTGCTCAGTAAAAGAGAAAGTTCCTTATAGCTGAATGAATTATTTTAATCAGAGGATCTGTTTTAACCTCTGTTTTAGTTGTCATCTCCCTTCAAAGCTTTCATCTCCTGCTTACTAATAAAGCTTGAGTATTTTTTTTTTCTTATTCTCACCAAATATTGCAACTTTCTTTGTTGCAGTTTCTGACACTGACGATCAAACTGGTAAGTGATATTTTTAATATTGCCTCGTTTGTCCCACGGTTAATAATGTCAGCGCTACTTCTGTTTCCATGACGCACAAAATATCGGTATAAAAACTAGAGCTTTTGGCTCATTGCCAGTTGATGGAGTAGATATACCTGCATTACTGTAGGCTCAGGGGAATTTTTTCAAATCACAGACTGTACAATGGTCTAATACTGAGTCTAACATAGCAAAATCCTCTCTCTCAAGTCTGTCTCATGCAAACTGTGGTCTTCTGTTTCCTCAGGTGGTGCTGGGCTCCATGGCGCAGAGGAGAACCTCTGCAAGATCTGCATGGACTCACCCATTGACTGTGTCCTGCTAGAGTGTGGCCACATGGTCACTTGCACCAAGTGCGGGAAGCGGATGAGCGAGTGTCCCATATGCAGGCAGTATGTGATACGAGCTGTCCATGTCTTTAAGTCCTAAGTGTCTATAAGTAAGAATGGTGATGCCTTAAAGCCTCATCTGCTCTTAGAGAAAGGGTCATAATCGCTGCAGATAGGTCAGAGATGAGCACATGCACCTCGCAGGGAGCTGGAAGTTTATAGGAAAGGTGAGGAAAGGATGAAGCTCAGAGAATTGCTCTTATTCCAGCCGTGCTTGGCTCTGCCCTTCCCACTATCGTGCTTTACACCACAGTGCCTGAACTCCCTGGAGCTTATTGGCAGCAGCAGAGGCCAAAATAATTAACAACATACAGTCTAGAATAACTTGATCCACTAGTGTTGGGGATAGAGAAATGCTTGGCTTTCCAGCACAGCGATCAGATTGTGAGGCTTCTCATTTCCTCTGGACAATAAACAAGGTGGACTGGGGTCTCAAAAAGTGACGTCGTCTTTTTTTTGCTGCTACTGAATTCTCATTTTGTTTCCCTCGTGTTATGTTTAGGCTACACACCCACCGATAACTCTGCTGTCAAAGAATAAAACTTTGCTGGGCTTGTTTTGGGCTTGCTTTTTCCTTTTGCAGTTTAATTTTAGCTACTTATACTTGCAGGACAGGCAGGCTGCCTCTGTTATCCATATTCAGAATTAGTTTAATTGTAGCCTAGTGGGATTTTGAAGAAATATAATATTTTATTTGAAGACAGGTTTTGTACTGTTAAAAAATGTCAAGGGAATAAGCGCTTCTCTAGGACATACAGCCTTACCTTGTGTTTGTTTACATGCCAGCAAGAGTGAGATTCCTACTGCTGCTGGTTCCTTTAATTTCATAGTATATACCAGTAACTATTTAAAAACCGATCTGACTTCAGGTGATGAAGAGCTGTGAATCTAAGACTCTAGTCTTTTAGAGGGCTTAGTGAGCCGTAGAGTTAAGAATTCTGTTGCTACAATTGTATTTAAGTGCAGGTAATTTTTCAGATTGGAGAGTCGAGGCTAAAGACTTGAAGGAAAGCAGAGACCAAACTTTCACTCCTTGCTCAGCTTATTGATTCAGGGAAGATAATGATCATCATTGCAGAGGCTTCTGTTTACTAATCAGCTTCCCTCTTATCCTCTTTGCTCAATTTTACAGTCTTGTTATACTAAGCCTGCTTATCAAAAACAATTTATTTTATGCTTGTGAGGGTGGATAGGAGACTCTCTGGTTTGGTATATGACAATCACGAACTCGTCCAGCTGCTCCCTGAGCAGCATGCCAATGTGCAAGAGCCACATTAGAACTGACATACTTTTCCCTGGGTGGCCTGCACACATGCAGTCCATCTGGCTGGCAACACGCTGCTCCGTTTTGGAATCCTGATGCCTTAAGTTTTCAGCCACCACAGGCCTGTAAACATATCTCAAGTCCTTGCTGAAGTTGAGTAACTTCTGCTGCAGGTTTTTCTTGCCTAGCTTTCCCCTTTATGGGGTGGTGATGCCTTGGTGGTCAAACTGAATATCTGCATGTGGTGTTGGGGAAGGAACAGCCTAAACAGAAGTGTCCACTTCTGGCTTTTGCAGTAATGGAGGTGTAATTACAGAAATGATCACTAAAGCCATCTATTTTTGCAATAAATATAATGTAGGTTAACAGCAAATTAAGCTTTTGTAGTCTTCAATGCACCACTGCAACTGGTATGAAGTAGATGATCTCTACTCTGTGAGTGAGAAGTAAAAACACCCTTTGAGATGAACACCTCTGTCACTCAGAAGTTAAAGAACCTCAGCACTACTGCAGTGCTGTGACCTCCATGAAGAAGGGACAGCTGATGAGGTTTATTGAACTAGAACTTCTGCGTTTTACCTCTTTTCTCCTATTCAGGTTGTTCTCTGAGGTACGACTTAAAGTTTAACATCTTCCACCCTGAGCAGAGCGTTGATACAATTCAGTGCATCATGTTAAAATAGTAACTGCCTACATGCAAAATGATGTCTTTACACTTAAATAACTTCACAGGACTCTTGTAAGAGGTACAGGCAAAAACTTGCAAAGCTTGGAGCAGCCTCCTCAGTAGCCTCGCTGTGAGTGTCATCCTTTTCAGTAATTTCAGCGCTGCAGGAGGGAGATTACTCCCCTGTGGACAGATCTACTTTGACTTGTAGAGGGCAGGTTTATTCCTACAGCAGATAAACGAGTTGCAGATCAGTGTCTGAAACTCCAAGGAGATGCACGCAGCCATCGTTAGTCTCAGCTGTGCTTTCCCTGGGGGGATCCTGTTGCTGACTACACTGTTTTCCTGGCAAAAATGGATTCTCTACTATGGACCTAATTAAGTTATTTTTAAGTAAAATTAAAAATTTGGAGAAAACTGATTTATAATCCAAAGGTATATACTGATCTGAACTAATAAAGTAAATGGAAATATTTGTGCTTTATGTACACTGTACATAGTTTAAGTATTTTAAAAGTTGATATTTTGCTTGAAATGGCATGTTATTCTCTATTAAGTCTTCTTGGTACTTACTAGTTTTGGTACAAAATTTTGGTTTATAATTTTGTAATAAAGTTGAAATGTGATTTAGTTAACCTTGTTTTCTGACTCTATTGCCAACAGGCTAAGAGAAGCCCAAGATGTTACAGGTACTTTTGAACTTTAACCAGAAAAAGAGAAAAGGCTCAGGCTACCAGGTACTTAAATATCTTTATAGGGGGGAATGGAAGTACAGAAGAGGTTGAAGGAGGGAAGAAAAAAAAAAAAAAGAGCATCCTGATGTTTAACAGGAGAGTCTTTGTGAGGATCACGTGTGTGCTGCCCCAAGCAGCAGCAGCAGCCAACTCACTCCTCTTCAAACTATGGAGACGCAGTAAATTGCTGAACTCTGACTTTTGTAATGCACACAGAGACTCTGCCTCCGAGTGTATGGGACTCAATCGACGTTATTCAGCAACAGCACATCTTCATATGAAAATAATTAAGTTTTAGAAATACAGCTTTATTTTATTAGTATTCAAGTACTTGGAATAGATTTAATTAGCTTCAGATCAGCAGCAACCCTAAGTGTCCTAAGAGATTCAGATCAGAGAGTTCTTTCCTCAGATTCTGCTACTCATTTTTCAAGGAATAAAAGGTATATGTAACTTATTCCAGAGAACAAACACTGCAGGAGGATGCTTGGATAATACTCTGGCAGCTACTCTAATGGAAGCTTATTTGATTTCCTAGTTTTAGTATAAAACCTATGCAGAAGATGTAAACTGTTAGGGGATTTGTAGGGGAGGTTAAAGACAAGGGGGGAAAAAAAGCACAGATGAAGGGCACAACTTAGATGGTCTCTGTGAAGTCAGAGCAGAACAGGAAGATTATCTTAGCACTAGAGTTAATATTGTTTCAAATACCTGTGAGAATAATCTTTGAAAAGTAAGTCTTGACAGCAAAGGAGAAGATGCTTCAGTTTTATTTCTTTAATTATAAAAATAGCCAAACTTTTAAAAACCCAGGAGATGAAACCAGCACCTGCATCAGTGCATTGGTCTACATTATGGGCAGAAACATGGAGTCAGCAGTGACAGAAATTCCACATGGCTGCTATGGATCTTTACAACTACCTTGGAGGTACTTGGGCATTTTATTTCTATCTGCATCCCCACAGAGGAATCTCACCCGTTCTTCCCCACCTACCTAGTTCCCTGCTGTTTCCTTCAGGCAGTTCCTGAAGTAGAGCTGTCTTGAGAGCAGTGAGGAGCCCCACACTGTTAGCATGGGGCTACCAGTTTCCGTTTCCGGATGCATTCCCAGACCCAGTTGGGAGACACACGCTTAGCACCAGGATTCTCATCAACGTCCCCTATAACGTGTGTTGCGGAGGCTGCATCGAACTCTTGCACGAGGTCCCCGTCGTACGCGATGAAGTACCGGCGGATCCTGTCGAAGTCCTTCACCGAGGGGGGCAGGTAGAGCCTCACACCCGTGAATATGTCCAGCAGGGCCTGCACAGAAGGATGAAACAAAGGTCAGCCAAAGAGTTTGGAAACTGCAGCACGTTCTTTGAGGCACAAACAGGTCCATTCGCCGTTCCCAGGGATATCATTTTAATCCCTTGCCTAATATCTGTGAATTGCTCTTTGGACTTCCATTAAATCATCCACAAGAGCAACTCCCATCGAGTTCCTCTCCGAGTCCCATGCTACAGCTGCCTAGTGCTTCCTTAGCTAAGGGGAGTTATCACTGCCTTAGCAGTGCTGCTGGGGCGGGTGAGTAAACATGCCCTTAGTGCCTAGAGACTTCACAAGCCGACGCTTGTAAAAGCAGGAAAACAAACAGCCCTGGGAGGGGAATTGCTGTTTACAGCAAAATAGCTGCTTCAGGCTTCTCAGCAAGTTACAGCTCGATTCTTCATCCTAGAATTTGCTCCGCAATGGGCTAGAAAGGACAGTTCTGTCCTGTCGCAGCTCCTGTCTCTTTGGTATGCAGCACGGAGCAAGAGCAGCCACGTGGCGATGCCAACACATGGCCCCTGTAGTGCAGGACACTGGTGGGGGTCAGTAGAGCAGCACTGGCCTTTAGCATGGCAGACATGGCCCGGTCAAACCTGCAGCTAGGGAAGAAGGGTGCAGACATCTGCTTGTTCTATAACAGGGCTTGTTGCTGCTGTTTCCACCTTTGTACTTCACTTTAATTTAGGGTGCAGCTATGGGCAAAACTTTCCACATGGAAGACAAAGGTGAACAGACGACTGAAACAGCCTCAGCCTCCTCCCACCCCAACGTGCCTGCTGCCCCTCTGTACCTTGTTTCCGTTGTCCTCCACCTCCGATGATTTCCGCTTCTCCCCTCGTTTCTCTTCCACTTTCTGAGGGGATGCAAAGACTGCTTTGATGCCTACAAAAAGAAAGTTTTCTCATTGAGCTCTTTGAGACACTGGTTGTGTATTCAAGTTGGGGGAGAAAAAAGGAATGTAAAATGGCTTTTCCCCTGCATTTTTTTGAGTAATCGGTGAATTAAAAGATAACCAGTAGGCTGAACATTTTCTATGGCAAAGGGCCCTGGGCCTTTTCCTGCCCTGATCTCCAGGAGGCTGCATTCCTCTTCAACTTCTTCTTGCTTTCTACATCCAAGACTGCTTAAAGATCT